AACTCTGCGTCCTACATCCCAGATTCAGCTGTCTCTGACCATTCTTTCACCTGAAAAACTTACAGGACTAAACCATGATAATGAGAGCAAGCCAGAAAATGCAGTATAGAAGAGTATAATGTGGAAAGTAAAGTTCTTCAACAGTCCTCCTAATAATTCCCCAAAGTAACAACTGTTGTTTCTTGTATAATTGTCTGGAAATTTCCTGTGTACACACAAGTATATATGTTTATTCTTCAAAATAAGTATTGAATATCCCTTATATCTAGATCCCCAGCCTCTCAGGGCACACCCCCAGAGACAACCAGTGTTACGTTTCTTATGGATCTAGAGAACATTTTAACATAGTTATAAGCAAAAACACATATATTCTCTCTCTTTCTCTCTCTCTCTCTCTCTCTCTCTCTCTCACTCACACACACACACACACACACACACACACACACAATATAACATGTTTATGTGTATGTTTTCTCCTTAAAGATCCTACATGTTTGGGACTGGGGTTGTGGCTCACTGCCAGAGCACTTGCCTAGCATGTGTGAGGCACTGAGTTCTATCCTCAGCACCACATATAAATAAATAAATAATAAAGGTACATCAACATCTAAAAATTATTTAAAAAAAAGAAAAAGATCCTACATGTTTTATATTTCCAGAAAATGTACATTATCACAGCCTTATATAGGAATGTATCTTTCTCACATCTGCACTACATTGGATTCCATGTCTTTTTGGTTTTGCCAATCTGTTGGTGAAAGTAGTCTTTCATTTCTTGTGCAGTTTCTCTTCTCTTTTCTTGTGTTGGAGATTAAACCCAGGGCCTTGTACGTGCTAAACACATGCTCTACCATTGAGCTACATCCCTGCCCCTTTGCTATATTTTTCCTTAATTTTGAGTTTGAGCATCTTTTCATATATTTAGCTGCATATCTTTTGTTCACCTTTAAATTTTTTTTATTAATTTATGCAAGATCTTTACATATTTAAGAAGTTAGCCCTTTGTTATATGGCTTGCACCTATATAGTCTTTTAAAATTAAACCTTAATCACTACTCATTTTTCTTTTTACCTTAGATATACACGTCTCAAAGAAAAAGAAGAGGAAATTACCCTCTGATGTGAGTGAAGGCAAAACTGTTTTTATCAGGTATGCTTTCTACCTAGAGAACTGTTGTTTTCATTGCCTTGACAGATTTCCTCTCTTCCTTTTTTTTTTCCCCTCTCTTCTCCCACTTACCCAACTCTTCTCCCCACTTCTTCTTTTTACCTCTCTTTTTTCTTTCTCCTCCATCCCATCTTCCCCTCCCATCCTGCTCCCTCCTGTGCTTGCTTCCTTTGGGCAATATTCATGTTACCAAGCCCAGAAAGTTACATGCTGTAAGACCATTAGGACATCACATCTGATCTGGGAATGTACCAAACAATGGGACACACAGGAAAATCAGAACTATAAAGCAGAAAGTAAGGAGTGGCAGGGGTCCAGATATTTTGTCCTCTTTAGATTTCATTCTTTGTAATTTGGGTGGCATTATTTGGAACAAATTAGCATCTCAACTGTTAGGAACATCTTGGTTCTGGCCTTTGTTTTAGAGGGAGTACTGGGGTGACACATTTGTCACAAATGATTTTTCTCTCAATACTACCTTAACTTTTAAAGCGGTGTYCAGAATAAGTAAGACATCCTGTTTCCAAGAAAACGTGGTGGTGTGGGATGAGGGTAGAACTTGGTCTTATTGCACATTTGTTGTTGCTATTTCAGCCCTACCAACAGTAGATTGACGTTTTTATAGTTCAGGATATCTTCAGTTCATCTCAAGCATGTCTTCTAGTCCTTTCCTTAGTTCTAGTGCACTAGGCTCATTTGGATCTACTTTTAGAAGTATGTATTTTATTCTCCTGTATAGTCTTTTAATATTGTTTTTGTTATATAGGTAACTTATATGTTCATTGTAGAATATTTGGCAAATACATGAGCAGGTAGAAAAAAAAATTAAACCTTAATCACTACTCAGAAATCATCCCTTCAGATGCCCACATAAATATTTTTACAAAGATGAGTTTGGCCAAAACTGGCTATTTCCCATTTCTTGCTTAATAGTAACTTATGTTACTATTATATCTTTCCATAGTTTTTCCATTTTTTTAAACTGCAAAATTTGGAACTTCCATGTAAATAATTTTGTATTACAGAAAGGAGAAAAGTTACATTCAGAAGCCTGTGACCTCAATACCAAGGATTCCATTACTTTTCTGTGTGTGTTTTAGTTAATAACTTAGGGAAATAAAGGGGTGAAATAGGATGTAAAGGGGTTGGATATACATGATGAAGCAAATTAGAAGAAATAATATAGATATATCCTCTATATATCTTATTATACAAAACTTCTATTTATCTGATTATCCCATAAACTAGAATTAGTTATGGGGTTATTTATTGAGTATAAGCAAAGTAAAATTGTTGCAATTACTAGGAGCTATTTTTTATAACCCTGGAAGGATGTGCATAGCTGGAGAGATGAGGAATCTTTATAGTATATCAAAATTTAGGAGAACAGAATCTTCCAGCATTTGTAATTCCATCAGAAGAAATAAGTACAGGTTGAGTATTCCTCATCTAAAATGCACAGAACCAGAAGTGTTAAAAAAGATTTGAGTTTTTCAGATTTTAGAATATTTGCATACATTTTACCAGTTTAGTGTCTGTCTCTAATCCAAAAGTCCAAAATCCAGAGTCCAGAAGTTTTTGAGCATCGTGTCAGTGCTCAGAAGGTTAATTGGTATTTGGGTTAGAGATGCTAAACATGTAATTATTTATTTTTTTGCACTTAGCTAGTACACTTTATTATATTTCTATTTCTGTTATTATGAAGGAGTTTCTGACTTTTATAGAATTTTAATAGAAACCTAGATTTCATAGAAACACAGAAGAAAAAACTGTCTAATCTGGGATGAGAGGGACAGAACTTTTTCTCACTAGACTGTTGTAGTAAGAGAAACTTTGGTTTTAGTAAGAGAAACTCATTTTGGCCATCCTGAGTGAAAAAGAGAGTTTGTGGGATAAACACAAGGGTGGCTTATAGAATCAAAGTTGTCAAAGAGTGGACCTCAAGAAGCTGATGAGAATCTGGGTAATTCTAGGACCTTGCTGCTGGCGTTTGTGGGTCTTTTCTATAGCGACCCTGCCTTTTTTTTTTTTGAATAGGTATAACATGTTATGTAAAGTACATTACTAGTAAGTGAAAATTTTCACATGTATATATTTGTACAACCACCACCTAGGTCACTTTGTAGAAGATTTCTAGTACCTTGGAAGTCTTGGTTGGGATACTACTATTTTGAATAGAATTCAAGTCTTTGTATATGTCTATTTAAGTTTCATTCTCTGCTAGAGAATCTGATTGATATAAGAAAGTCCCTTGGGACCAAGGGGCAGAGTCATATTGCAGAAGCCTGATTATTGGAGTCCACCCCTTCTGTATTGGTGCTATTTCTGAACAAGGAAGAGTGGTTGTGAGCAGTTGTGTTCATTTTTCCCCCCCCATGGACAAAAGCAATTCTCTGAGCCTCTCATTCACACAAGTGAGGAAACTGCCAGAGAGGCACTAGAGGCAAGGGCCCAGGCCTTCTCCCCTTCTCTGCTCCTCTCTCCCCTTCTCTGCTCCTCTCTCCCCACCCCCTCCTTCTCTCCCTCCCTCTTTCCCCCTATAAATGTCTAATTCATTTATTTTGTAGTGGAACATAGATCTCACTTTGTAATTGACCTTTCTTGTGACCTTCTGGTTGTCTTCGTAGAAACCTGTCCTTTGACTCAGAGGAAGAAGAACTTGGAGAGCTCCTCCAGCAATTTGGAGATCTTAAATATGTCCGCATTGTCTTGCATCCAGACACAGAACATTCTAAAGGTATTTGCCACCAGCTGGCCATTGCCATGGATGTTGACTGGTCCCATGAAGGCATAATGTGTACCATTCTGAGGTGTCCAYGGTCTGTTCTGCCTCTGGCTTCCTTAAGCCCATGGATGTTCTGAAGTTATCTTCCATGATGTCAAACAGTAGCTTTAATGGTGCTGCCAGCCATAATTTTATGTAAGCTTTTTAAGCCCTTGCTTATTTACTTTAGGGTAATGAATTTCATTTGTTGTTCTCCTTTGAATTTCAAAAATGATAACATCTCATAGGTATTTATCATTCCACATTGCTTGAAAGTACAGCGCCCCCTTCTTTTGTTAGAAATGGAAGCTGACAGAGAAACTTTGTTGCATGGCAACAATCAGAAAGAAAACTATGTGGCAGGAGTGCTGCCTGAGATTTTTTTTTTTCCCCTGAAATTATGTTGTGCTCCAAAGGTTAACCTCTTATTGTAGTATATCACTGTTAAATAAGGATTTTCAGCCCATTCTGATCTTTGTCTTCTTGGATTGTATTTGTTCTTTTAAAGCACTGGATTCCTTTGAGATCTAGCAAAAGATAGAAACTCTCCAGAAAAATGCTACTTCTGAAGGTGTGGGCTCTTTAGAAATTATCCATAGATTAAGAATATGTAGTCTAAACCTTATTTTCCAAATTGATAAGACTATCATTTTTTAAATTTTTACTCAGAAAAAGAAATATAAATATGTCAGAACTAAACAGCTTTCTGGAGATTAGGAATATAATCCCAACCATGCCACAGATGAGTTGGGTGATTCCTGCCCCTCACCCCCATCCAATCTGGGTGATTTTGGGCAAATCATTTAACTACTATGGGCTTTATTTTTTTCTTTTAATCTGTAAAATGAATGGGTTCAACTATAATAACCACTTAGGTGTCTTCTGCATAATATTCAGTTATTCTTCTTGGACCTTCTTCATTGCCAGTTTTTTCTAAAAATGGGCAGCTAGAGTTACTTAGAATATTCCAAATATGGGTATGATATTGCTTTACTTTTATGGTATTCAATATCTTTTACCCCTTCTTGAGTGCACTAGTATATTGGGTTGATATTTTCAGAATGTAGTTTACATTTGATTTACTATATGTCTTTTGGGCGTGCTGAGAGCCATAGCCGAGTCGGAATGACGCGTGGCTTTTTTGCCTGGCTGTTTGTGGTAGGTGAGYTCCCTGCTGGTTAAGCAGAACCACCGTTTCTTGAAATTCTTTTTTCCAATTCGAGTTCTTCCCTGAGCTCTTTTATTCATTTCACCTTTTTTCAAGTGCACAGGCTCGCTTGTACTACTGGACTCTTTAGTTTCAGTCGATGAAATTTCATCCAAGAACTTTTTAACTGCTATAATGTATCCTTCTTGAAGCATTTTGAAAAATTCACACATGAATGTCTCTTTGAAACTTGACTTGCTTTTAGAAAGGCTCCCCCAGCTTCCCAAAGTTTGAATGGTTTTTGAGATGAGAGTTAATGTCCTAATTGTCTGTGCATCTGGATGATGAGGTCGCAAATGAAAAGTATGAGGTGATACTACGGCTACAGCAAAGAAACGAAGAAATACAAAGCTACTCACTGCAGAGTACTGAACATGAGGGTCATTAGGAAATCTCTGAGTAGCCATTTGCCTTAGAGAATAAAAGATATTACACATTTCAGTGGGGCAGCTCATACTTTATCTTACAATTGTACTAAATAACTTGTCCACATAGTAATGCAGATTTTCCTTATTGTTTTCTACATTATCTCCCTCTTTCAATTTAATAGGATCAATTTCACAGGATTTTGAGGATTCACATATCTCATCTAGAGTAGATTTTAAGGTTACTTTCAGGTAGTGCCCTCCCACTATTTTCATCATCTCATCCAGACATCAGGTAGCCAGAGAGTTTCCTCTAAAAATTGTGTTTGCATCTTGGGTATCCTTCAAGTTTAATTCCGCCACTGCTGTGACAAAAGGAACAAGTTTATCATGGTGCAGCAGCAATCGTACAAAAGGCAAAACTGCATCATTTTTATATCGACGTATTTCACCCAAAATGTAAGCAGCTGAGGCAGATATTGGCTGAACATCTGGTGATTTTTAGCAGCAAAGTTTTCAAAGGACCATAGTACTCTGAAGGAAGCACATAGTATGCATTGTGAACTATCTGTTGGTGCAGYGAATTGTGGTAGTGCTGGAGTATCTTTGCTGATGGTGCCACCTGTGGTACAATTTTTCCAAAGGAGCCGTCATTTGGCTTGGTGTTGTGGCGTTCTGCATCCTCCTCCCTTCTGCTAGTGATGGTCTAAAATTTGGGAGCCAACAGAGGTGAGGCAAAGAACCTCACCCCCCCCCCCCACTGGCAAAGGCCAAATTTGGGGGCCAACAGAGGTGAGGCAAAGAACTTCATCCCCCCACTGGTGCATAGGCCTATCCACAAGTATGCTGTATGCTGGACCGGTAATCAGTGACGGGTAAGATCCAATTGCAGTGGTATCAACCTAAGACAGGAGGCTGACGCCTTGAGGTTAGCTCATCCGATGACGGGTAAGGACCATATGTAGTATTGGACAGCCTAACAGGCACAGTCCCTAAGCCACAGCTTGGTGTTTAATTAAACAGAAGGGGGGAGATGCTGAGAGCCATAGGCTGGCATTTTTGATGCCTGGCATTTTTGCCAGAACGGAGTGGTTGAGACGCCAGCATGCCATTGAGATGATAATGGTTATGTTAAGCTGTGTATTCAATTGTATATTAGACCCCTGCTGTCCTCCTTGGACTGCTACTTTGGAGTTCTCTTGGGGATTCCCGGAGAGTTCCCATTGGTTGGGGAAGTGCCGGAGGAGGGATTTCCGGAGGAGGGATTTCCGGTTGGTGTGGTGTGGTGTGTGTGTGTGTGTGTGTGTGTGTGTGTGTGTGTGGTATGTCCCAGGAGAAGACCGAAGAAGGCCGTGTGCGTGTGCGTGTTCACGGGAGTGCGGAGAATAAAGGAGTTCCTGTTTTGAAACTACAAGGCTGTGTGGCGGCTCGGTTATTTTGTGCCCAGCCAGACTGCAGCATGGGCTATTAAAGTTAACAGAATTAATGATCTTAAAAGCATAATTTTAATTTTTTTTCTTAATGTATTATCTTTTCCTAACTCATATTAAATTTTTCTGACATCTGTTTTGCCTACTCAGGCAAACTTGTGCTCCTCCTGCAGTGTATCCCCCTCAGCATGCCATTTCATTGCCTAGAAGAGCTAAATATTATCTGAAATGTTAAGACTGAACCCAGTACTGACCCTGGAAATTTTAATGATAAAATCCTTATTAAGGGAGAAGTACTGGGCTGGGTCTATAGCTCAGTGGCATAGTGCTTGCCTACCATGTGTGAGGTACTGGCTTCGATCCTTAGCACAACATAAAAATAAACGTAAAGTAAAGGCATTCTGTCTATCTATAACTTCAAAAAAATTTTTAAAAAGAAGTACTGTCAGGTGTAGTGACACACACTTGTAATCACAGTGGCTTGGGAAGCTGAGGATTGCACATTCAAAGCCAGCTTCAGCAACTTAGCAAGGCCCTGAGCAACTTAATGAGACTCTGTCTCAAAATTTTAAAAAAGCATGGGGGTGGCTGATGATGTGGCCAGTGGTTAAGTGAGAGAGAGAGAGAGAAAATACTCATTTTCTTTAAATTGGTTGGTTAGGTCAATATGCCTGTTAGAAATCTTTCCCTCTGTATTTCTTTCATTATACTTGTTCTATAGTACCCATGGGGGATTAGTTCTAGGACCATGGCGTATACCAGAATCTGTAGCTACTTAAGTTTCTTATTAAAAACATGACGTTGGGGCTGGGGATGTGGCTCAAGTGGTAGCGCGCTCGCCTGGCATGCGCGGGACACTGGGTTCGATCCTCAGTACCACATAAAAATAAAATAAAGATGTTGTGTCCACCAAAAACTAAAAAAAAATATTAAAAAATTCTCTCTCTCTCTCTCTCCCACTCTAAAAAAAAATGATGTAGTCTTTGCATACAATCTGTATATTGTAGTATTTGCATCCTCTGTATTTTGTAAATTATCTATAGTTTAGTTGTAATACCTAATATAATGTGAATAGTTGTTAAACTTTATTATTTAGGGAACAGCAAGCAAAAAAGTCTGTGTTCAGTATAGACATTTTTTCCCCCCAAATATTTTCGTTTCTTGGTCAGTTGACTCCACTGATGTGGAACTCGTGATGCAGAGGTCCAACTGTGTTTGTTATTTTGTTGGGTATTTATTCATACTGTACACTATGGTGGTGGTTCTTAGTCCTAAGATGTTCACTGTGTTTGGGAAGACACCACCTGACCAGTGCTGTAAGAGAGAGATGAGTGGAGGACAGGAGCTGGTGGGGACACAGAAGTAGGAGCAATTAGCCTTGTCTGGAGCAGGCAGAGACATCTTCACTGAATGGTGACCCTTGGGTTGGCTTGCCATTTGTGTCCTTTCAGTTAGTTTGCTACCATTTATTCCTGTCACAGGCAGAAGATAATGCCCCAGTAGTTCTAGGAAATATGGGAGTGTTTTCATATATGGAGAATATTTAAAGTTTAAAAAGTGCTAACAAAATATAACAACTATATCTCTTCTTTTTCTTTTTTTTTTTTCTTTGCTTTAAAAAGCTGCTTTATGTCAATAGTAGAAATTTGGGCTGATGGCCCTTCGTCTATCCAATGAAAGTACTTTATGGTGATTCTAGAGCATAAACCAAGAATTGAGCTTCTGGATTCTGGTTTCTTGGGATATTCATGTAATGGAGGCCTTTTTTACCCCAGGAGGTAGATCTGATGCCTCTCAAGTGACTGAGACAGTGAGATGTAATTAATTTCGGGGCTAAGTGGTTCCTGCTTCATCTTTTAGTCCTCTGATAGGCTCTCAGTAAGTACAGCCGAGTTAAATATTTACCTGAAATTTCTCTATCATTTTATGTGGATATTATTAAGGAGAAAAGTGTTGATACTAAAGTTCTAAGATACGTTAAGGAAGATGAAGGGAGTAATAAAATTTTATTGAGAGGAATAGATGTGCTGTCATTCGATTTTGACCTTCACTGCCTCTTGGTACTTAATAAATGGATGCTACTTCTTCCTCTTTTTGTGCCAGGCTGTGGCCATTTGCATTATTGTCTTTGGTTTACTGGTGGGCTATGGGAGTTTGTGATTTCATTTAATTTTGTGTCTTTGTGCAGGTTGTGCATTTGCCCAGTTCATGACTCAAGAAGCAGCTCAGAAATGCCTTGCAGCTGCTTCTCCAGAGACTGAGGTAAGGAAAGCTTTTCTTTTACCCCATAATGTAGGAGAGAGTGACTCCTAGGGGCAAGATCTGGTGTTTACACAAAGTTTCATTATTTTTGTTAATGCTGCTGCTGCTGATAAACTAGCACTTGGTGCGTGTTAGGCACTGAACTTTACATGCATTACCTTATTTAATCATTGTGTCAGCCCCATGAGGTAAATAGGAATATTATCCCTATTTCTTGGGCAAGGAAACAGGTATAATAATTTCTCTAATGTTTATCAATTGCTGTCTATGTGGCCTCTATCCTAGGCTGATGACATGATGTGTCATGAAGGTATTAAGACAATCTGTGAAATGGAATACATATTTGAGAAAGTGTGTGGATGATTGAGAATTTTTCTCTGTGTTATGTAACCAAGTATATATTGTTTTGAGATAAAGTTTTCCTGTATTGCCATTATCCCTTATATTTTCTAGTTACTACCATTTTACTAACTTTCTTTAGAATACTAAAAATTAACCTGATTGCAGTTCATTTTACTCTATTTTGGCCTACTTTGGAATTAATCATCTCCCCTAAAGTAAATCCATTACTGTTGACTGCCCTCAGTACACACATGACCTTTTGCTTAGCTATACTAAATATTATGAGGGTCAGGGATCCACTTGTGGACAGCTGGGATGAAATATCCTGGGACTTGACTTCCACAATATAATTGGGGTTTTCTGATTCCCTTTCCTTGGTGTTCCTTGTCAGGTGCTCAGTTTCTGCTTGTTGTGTATTTGAAGAGAGGGTTACAATCTGTTACAGGGTGGTGGCCTTAAGCTGGATGGCCGGCAGCTCAAGGTTGACTTGGCTGTGACCCGTGATGAGGCTGCAAAGCTTCAGACAAAGAAGGTGAAGAAGCCAACTGGAACCCGGAACCTCTACTTGGCCCGAGAAGGCTGTGAGTAGTGGAAAGGAGATGTGAACTAGGCTTCTGAGTAGCTGGCTCCATGCCATGACATAATCCAACAATTGTATTTTGGTGCACATTAAAAAAAAAAAAAATTCTTCTTAATTGTATTGTCATTCCACCTTACTAGTTGTGGCTTTCTGTTAGAAAAACTTCACCCAATTTTTAAATTAACTGATCCCATTCTTTTTTCTGCCTGATTGCCTTTAGACGGCTGTTTGTTTGTTTGTACTGGGGATTGAATTCAGGGATACTCAACCATTGAGCCACATCCCCACTCCTATTTTATATTTTATTTAGAGACAGGGTCTCACTGAATTTCTTGGTGTCTCGCTTTTGCTGAGGCAGGCTTTGAACTCACGATCCTCCTGCCTCAGCCTCCAGACCACTGGTATTACACATGTGCACCACTGCGCCTGGCCTTTAGACTTTCTTAATGGAAGATTGGCAAGGCAAAGAGGGAGGAAAACTTAAAACTATCTTTGATTCTTGACATCATTTCTTTTATTTTTTTAGATGCTAGGAATTGAACCCAGGAATTGAGTCTTACACATGCTAGGCAAGCACTGTGCCAGTGAGCTATATCCCTAACCCCTTGTCATCATTTTTTTTGAGAGAGAGAGGGAATTTTTTTAAAATATTTATTTTTTAG